TCAAAGTACAGAACCTTGTGGGACTCCGTGACCAACATTGGTGGTCTTTGAGGATTCACCGTTTACAAGCACAAACTGGGATCGGTCCGATAAGTAGGATTTAAACCAGCTGAGTGCAGTTCCTTTGATACCAATTAAATGTTCTAGTCTCTGCAACAGGATACAATGGTCTATGGTATCAAATGCGGCACTGAGGTCCAGCAAGACAAGAAAAGAGATGAGTCCTTGGTCCGATGCAAGTAGAAGATCATTCGTAATTTTCACCAGTGCTGTTTCTGTACTGTGATGCACTCGAAATCCTGACTGGAAATCCTCGAACAAAGCATTGTTTTGTAGAAAGTCACATAATTGATTTGCGACGGATTTCTCAAGGATCTTAGAGAAGAAGGGAAGATTAGAGATAGGTCTGTAGTTAGCCAACACCTCTGGAGCAAGAGTAGGTTTCTTAAGAAGAGGTTTAATTACAGCTACCTTGAAGGACTGTGGTACATGTCCTGTCAACAAAGACAGATTCATAATATCTAATAAGGATGTGCTAACTAAAGGAAAAACTTCCTTAAGCAGCTTGGTCGGAATCGGATCCAAGAGACAAGTAGAAGATTTAGACTTTGAAAATAAAGAAGTCAGTTGATCAAGGTTGATGGAAGAGAAGGCATCCAAACAGGCATCAGGGCCCACTGCTGCATCCAAGGTTCCTACATCGGAGGACAGGTCGGCACTGGTTGAAGGCAGGAGACCATCAATTTTCTCTTTGATAGTCAGAATCTTATCATTGAAGAAGTTCATGAAGTCGTTACTAGTGTGATCCAAAGGAATACACGGCTCGACAGAGCTGTGAATCTCTGTCAGTCGGGCTACATTGCTGAAGAGAAACCTGGAGTTGTTTTTATTTTTCTCTATTAATGATGAGTAATAAGATGCTCTTGCGTTACGGAGAGCCTTCTTATACGTTTTAAGGCTGTCTTGCCAAACTAGCCTAGATCCTTCTGATTTGGTGGAACGCCATAATCGTTCAAGTTTCCGCACAGTTTGCTTTAGGTTCCGTGTTTTAGGGTTATACCACGGAGCAGACTTCCTTCTTGTTGCTATTATTCTTCATGCAGCTAACAGACAACAGACAGGCAAAGTACGGCGGATATTAACGCGTCATGATGACGTCATCCACGAACCCAGAACGCTCGCTCGCACCGGTGGTTCTTGTGCACCGACTACGGACCGCGACGACTATTTTACGCTTCGGCGAGTTTGAATGTGCGCTTCCTCAGTTTAGCTCAGCGGTCTCGGTTTAGCTGACTGTTAGCGCGCTGCTTCAGAGAAACATGAAGACCCGTTTAACAGACTGTCGGCCAGCAGAAATCCATGCGGACCTTTCTGCTCTGTTCTCTGGCGACGGCAGGCAGCGTTTCCTCGGTGGATGAGACGGTCCGTCACAAACAAGTCTAACACAATAAACTCATTGGAGGTTTTGAAGCCAAGAAAATAATGTACTGCAACGATTGTAGGACGTTAAGGGGTCTCTTTTGTTGGGACAAGCAATTTCACAGTGGAAACAATAAAGGACCATTAAGTTTCTGGTGGCCATGTCAAAAGCATGGCAAGTAAACAGACAAAGACAACAAAGTGTTGCATTTAGATCCCTGGTCCTCATGAAGTTGTTACACCTTTGCCAATTTGTTAAATTGCCTTGCAAATAAATGCTTTGCTATTTGTTTAAATCCAAATCCTTTCATGTAATGATTTTTCACATGTCATTTATATTAGCTCACACACTTCAACCATTTGTTCTTGGCCCGGCTCCTCTGTCAAATTTTACAACCCATTGTGGCCCGCGAGTCAAAAAGTTTGCCGACCCCTGCTATAGACCTGTCCTAGGAGGGATATCTAATGGACAACCAAGTACTGCAAGCTAGACTATTATGCAGTTGTAGACACAACAAAGGGGGTCCCTGGGGGAAGAAAATGAGTTTAATATGGCTATTAAATGTGATTAAAACTAGCCTAAAACTAATTACATTTTAGTCGAGTTTTCGTCGACGAAAACTAGACTAAAACTAAGAAGGATTAAAATGACTGAATGTGACTAAAACTAATATGCATTTTTTGTCTAAAGACTAAGACTAAATCAAAAATAGCTGCCAAAATTAACATTGTGTCTCAGTGTAACTCCACCCTGCTAGAGCCGCGTCTGTCCTCATCCTTCAGGACCTTTCTGCTGCATTTCACACAGTAAACCACCAGGTCCTTCTCTCCTCCCTTCAGGAACTTTCTGATACTTTCTTACTGTCTCAGGCTCTGCTCTCTCCCTTCTCTCATCCTACCGTGACGGCCACACCTACCGGGTAACCTGGAGAGGATCTGTGTCTGAACCTTCTCATCCTCTTCCGGGTTCCGTCCTGGGTCCCCCCCTCTTCTCTCTCTACACTAACTCTCTTGACTTGGCCATTCACTCGCATGGCTTCTCCTACCACAGCTATGCCGATGACAACCCACTAATTCTCTCCTTCCCTCACTCAGACACTCAGGTGGCAGCACGGGTCTCTGACTGACATCTCTCAGTGGATGTCCGCTCACCATCTGAAAATCAACCCCGACAAGACTGAACTACTTCTCTTTCCAGGAAAAGGTTCTCCTACCCAGGACGTGACTGTTTGGCAACTCTGTGTAAACGCCCACTTGGACTGCCAGGAACCTCGGTCTGACACTTGATACGATCATGTAGATACACGCTCTACAACATCAGGGGAATAGGTCCCTTCTAACTCAGAAGGTGGCGCAGGTACTGATTCAGGCTCTTGTCATCTGCTGCCTTGACCTTTGTAACTCTCAGGTCTCCTTGCCACCGCCATTCGACCTTTGCAGCTCATCCAGAATGCAGCAGCTCAACTGGTCTTTAACCTTCGCTCCTCCGCTTTCTTTACTGGCTACCTGTGGCTGCCCACATCCAGTTCAAAACATTAGTACTCACGTACCATGCTGTGAATGGATCGGGTCCAGTCTACATCCCGGACATGGTCAAACCCTACATCCTGACCCGCACACTCCGCATCTGCCAAACTGCTTGTTTCTCCCTCACTGAGAGCAAAACACTCTACAAGATCACCACCCTTTGCTGCCCTGACTCCGAAATGGTGGAATGAGTACTCATTCATTCATTCATTGTGGTCTGATGAGATCAGGACCACAGAGAGCCTTCACATCTTCTGTCACAAACTAAAGACAAACTAAAGACAATCTGAATCACAAACTACAGTTAAAAACAGTCAAACTCAATTTAAAAACAAAACTGTAAAATCCCAGTAAAAGAGATTCACCTCTATTTAAAAAGACAAATTAAAAAGGACACCAGATTGGGCTAGCACGGACAAAGCTAAGATGGTAATTACGCCACGAGGACAATTTGCTTACCAATATGTTCAAAATCCAGATGGCGGACAGATTTCTAAAAGCTTTTTAAAACCACTGGTCCCAATTTCTTTGGTCAAAGTCCTCCTGTCCACCTCCACTCCGTGCTGCTCCAACTGGTGCCTTCCCCCGTATCACACAAGGCTCTTTAAAGGGGCAGAGTGGTGCACATGGCGTCAATTCCGGGACGCACCAGTCGACCCTGAGATGCACCATTAGACACTCACTTGATAAAACATAGATAAATTAAACCGCATCTACAATAGTCTATCAACCACTCAAAAATGAGTATGTTAAGGGGTGGGTATTCGACCCAGCACACAGAGATTCAACCAGGAGTGATAATGCGTAGAAGTAGTTTAATGAATACAGATTTCTAGGGAAGGGGACAGCTGGGTGAGGACACCGGAGGGACGGAGGCAGACGGCACGGCAGGAAAGAACAAGGACAGCGGGATCTGGACAGAGGGAACAGGGTTAGACGATTGGAACAGTAGGAATACTCAGTGTCTTACGAGCCACGATACAGCGTTAAGTTAGCACGCGTGGGTGTGTAACGATCTGGTGCTGGAGAAGCGGACAGCCCGGGTCTAAATACTACAGGGGTGAATTGTGAAATGTGGATCAGCTGTGTGGGGACGGAGCAGGATGGATAGTAGGTGGGGACAGGCAGCACAGACAGACACACACACAGGGGAAAAGACACAAACACACAGGATGGGGAGAACATGAAGCTGACCCATGACAGAGTAATAAAAATAGAAGTCAAAGCATGCAGACACAAAAATCTAACATTTACTGTATAATTAAACAAAGTGCTTTCTAACGGTTACGTCCATACAGGTATATATATATATATAGGTGTCTCTATAGTAATGTCCGCCTATATAGCTTAAAAATATAGATGTCCCTCGTTTTACAAGAGAAGCATATGTTAGGGCCTTATTAAGTCATGTTGAAGTGGCGGTAGGAGAGGTCATAGCTGTTTCCTGAGGGGAGCCAACAACAAGCAATTTTTGTTGATTTTATATAAAATCAACAAAAATTGCTTGTTGTTGGCTCCCCAGTGAAAATTCCTCTGACCTCTCCTACCGCCACTTTATATATATATATATATATATATATAGATCTTTGATTGAAACAAATTGAGCACATTACTTTTAGAAGGCACAAAGGACTTGATTTTATAAATTTGTTGTAGAGGATTATTAAGTTTAACTTTGTTTATTAATCCTACAAAGCTGATGTGTATCCAACACACAAAGGGATTATTTGAAGTAACAAAGGCCAGAGGTGTGTTGTTAACAACAATTAGAAGATGACGACATTGTCTGATTTGGTGTTCCCTCTGCGACATATCTGCTCCTATAAAGTCTTAATACACAATCCTCTCCCAGAAGACAGGACCGAACCCAGCAAAGGACCTTCATATATGGAGCTGTGCACTTCCATGTCCCATTAAGAGATGGTTTGGTAACCTGAAGCTATTATGTATGTCACATTTATTGTATTATATAATTATACTGGTGTGTGTAATCGACCGAAATGTAAAGTTGTGAGGTTGTTATTTGGGTTTTGTGACTGAGGAAACCCGTGTGTCCGGTTTGTACAAATATCTTTGATTTCAATGATAGTATTTTTGTTAATGAATTCTTAATTTTTTTCTGTCTTTAGAGCTACAAGAGGTCGATTGTGAGAGTGTTTCAAACCCTTGGACAGCTGCCTACAGCTGAAGAATATATGGCAGCCAATAACTCAGTGGTTGGTGTTGATTCTCCAATGAACAATTTTAACTATCGGGTAGTCATAGTTCAGGTTTTGGTGTCAGTCTTTCTTTTCATCAACTTTTGGCTAATAAGAACTTTTTTTGTGAGAGACTTTTACACAGTCATGCGGTACATCTTGTTTGCTACAACCCTGCTGTCTGACTCTATATTTTTAATCATAACTGACATCCTGCTTATTTTAAGTTACATTAAGATTACCATGCAAGTGTGGCTGTGTGTTATCATATACATTATTTCATCTCTGTGCATTTTTGTCACACCGGTTACTTTGACAGCAATGACCCTGGAGCGCTATGTGGCCGTTTGCAGGCCCCTGAGGCATGGAGAGCTGTGCTCAACTCGCAGAGCTCTGCACTGCGTCCTCATCATTCACAGCATCAGCTCTATACCCTGCATTGTTGTCCTCTCGATCTTTTTTGCATCAGTGTCCCACAACTTCTATTCCAAGGGCAGAGTATGTTCTGTGGAAATGTTCATCCTTTACAAATGGCAGGGTCATCTTCGGTCAGCTGTAAGTCAGTTTTACTTCTTCATAATGTTCATTGCTATTGTATTCTGTTATATTAAAATAATGAAAGTAGCCAAAGCTGCATCTGGAGAGGATAAAAAGTCAACAAGGAAAGGTCTCAAAACAGTAATTTTTCATGCTTTTCAGCTGTCGCTCTGTCTCATCCAGCTGTGGTGTCCATTAATTGAGGCTGCTGTACTTCAGATTAATTTAATATTATTCATTAATGTCAGGTATTTTGATTACATTACTTTTATTCTTGCGCCAAGATGTATAAGTCCTCTTGTGTATGGCCTCAGGGATGAAATGTTTTTTCATGCACTAAAATACTATGCTCTCTGTGGCTTGTATAAGAAACAGTCATCAAATATACCTTGATTAATACATTTATTTATTTTCATCCTGCTAATCTAAAATGTTAAATAAGTGTATCTTGCCGCGTATATATATATATATATATATATATATATATGAGTGTGTGTGTGTGTGTGTGTGTGTACATTATAGCAGCGGTTCTCAAACTTTTCCTGTCGGGCCCCACTTTGGAGGAAACAAAAATGTAACAAAATGGTCCATGCTGAATTTTTATTGAAACAAAGACATTTTTTGACTTTAACTGTTAAAGAGAAGAAGTAAGTGGACATAACTAAACAGGGCTGTGATGTTGAACAGTGCGGTTCGATCCGTGTTCTCTCCATAATTTGCATGTCTTAGTGTCCTTGAGCAAGACACAAAAGCCCCAGTGCTTCACAGCAGCACTCTCCTCCTAAATTACTAAGGATGGGAAAAATGCAGCAAATCATTTCCCCATGTAGGATTAATAAATAAAATTATAATTTTTAAAAAATTGACATTTTCCCCAGCCCCTCACGCCCCACATGTAATACCTCCACGCCCCACCAGGGGGTCACACCCCACAGTTTAAGAACCACTGCATTATAGTGATCCACACAACCTTCTTTTGGTCTTTTCACAACAAAACATGTTCATGAGTAGTATATAACATATGTGTGGTCTTCAATAAATAGCCCAATCCAACCGTTGTTTGAGTGTATTGTACAATCTTTTAGATTTATCAATAGAATCTAAAAGAATCAGTGAGCATCATACTTGAGAAATCTGTCCAACTTTAATTAACGAGGCACTTTGAAGATCAATACATGTTGCAGCTTTTTAAAGCTCCCTGTCTGCCATCAAGGTAAGCTTTATGGCATATGTATTTTATTTTCAGCCGTATGTATACAGGTATATATTATAAAGTATTCAGCAAGATTAGGTAAGTGTCTATCTCTATAGTAATGTCCGCCTATATGGCTTAAAAATATGGCCAGATGTCCCTCCTTTAACAAGTTAAAGGACCCACGTTAAAGTGGCGAAACGAGAGGTCAGTGGCATTTTCACTGGGGGGGGGCAACAAGCAATTTTTGCAGATCTTTGATCGACATGTTGAGCATGATACCTTTAGAAGGCGCACATTACTCAATTTTCTAAAATTTATTGTAGAAGATTATTAAATTGAACTTTGTTTATTTGATTTGCTAGTCCGCTCAAGACTATGTACGCATTCATTAGAATTCCGGGCTTTTTCAATATGGGACCGACTATTAATGTTGGATAGATATTATTTCTCTTTCTCGTTGAAAGTCAAATGAGATAAGATGAGATAAGATTAGATGATCCTTTACATACACTGTAGTTTTACAGAAGTTGAAAACTGCAATGCTACTGCAGTAATGGTGGCTTCTTTGTGTTCAACCACAAGATTGATTTGTCCACTGGATTTGTCTACAGTCACAGAGGGACGTTAGCAGAAGGTGGCAATGGCGGCACTGTTGTGAGCAATGGTACAATTGTGGTCTCTATGTTTGTTTTGCACTCATTCCTACAAAGTGTTATTTCACAGCCCTTACTCACAACACTGCAGTTCACCTCAATGGATAACATTTGACTTTTGTAAATTGGATTGGACCATTGATTTGGAATTGAAATATTTGCCAGAATGCTCTGACACGGAATGGACGATTTGGTAGATTGCACGACATGAATAATAAATAATAAAAAATCTGATTAAAAACAGATATTTTTGTATATGCACATGTACTAATTACGATTTCCAATTTGTAGTGTCTGGAAAGGCGATGGGCAATAACAACTCATCTTCTCGTCTTTTCATCTGTTTTTAGCATCAGCCTCATAGCTTTTTATATAAAAATGTTTGCTCCGTGGAGTTATTCATTTTTTCCTTCTTGGTCCACACACTAAAAAGCTATGCCGTCTTTGGCTTATTTAAAATAATTACTCGCTAAACATAGATTCAGGAAAAGTAGGCAATTTTTCAATAAAAAATGAAAATAATTTCTACTAAGCTTTAGTTTTATAAGAGTAATTCTTATTGCCTTACTTTTCAAGAAACCATTTAAGCTCCACACTATTTTCTTGCTTGCCAATAATTGGGGCAGGAGGGGGAGTTAGATTTAGTGGAGCTCATCTGTACACATCTGACAGTAGTACAAACTAATTGTTATACTGAAGATAAAAAGGCCTTATCTGAAGCTGAATAGTCGTTTTTATTTAATTTTGGTGCTACTCATTTATCACTTATTTTTGTGTTTCTGCACAGCTTGTTGTAGATAATGCTTTATGTACAATAGCAATCTGCCCGTGATGAAGCCACACACAATCATCACCAACACAACATATTAATCCAGGCTCACAGGAAATGGCAAAAGACAAGGACGCTCACTCAAAAATAATTTTATTTTTTTGCTATTACATGATCAGAGAAAAAAACAATGATGCAAACAATAGCTTTATAAAAATATGTCTTTGTTACAACAAAACAAAAAATGAACAAGCTGTTGGATAAGCCCTGCACTATACATTATTTACATTACATTATTTATTATGTAGAGTCTATTATCATTACTCAATCATGGCTCATAGCTGGTATTCATTAATCAAATAAATAGTCTTAAATAAGGATTAATACAACATTACTCAATGTAATTAATGCAAAAAGAAGAGAATCAGGAAAATAAACATGCACTTTTTAGCTGTTTTTCAATATGCCTGTCTTTTATTCTTAGTCCTCTCGTAGATACGCCTCATGCACCTCATGCTCCTCGCCGTTCTCTATAAAGGCAGTGTATTCTGCCATCCTTTGGATCTCTTCCACTTTAGTCTCTGCCAACTTCTTTTCTGCATCCGCTGACAGTTTCCGAGCTTCCCCCACCTGTGACTGGGCCACCTGGATGTTTGTCTCCACTGTGATGGACGCCTGCTCGGCACCTGGAGAAACACAAAGGTGCAAACACACGTGTTGAATTGCAGAGAAGGTTTGAGGGGTTTGATTGATTTATTCTTTTCTTCAGACCAGAGAGACACTGCAGATCCCGTTTCACTCACCAGAGGAGTGCGCTGCCTCGGCTGCCATTTTACACAAGTCGACAGCATTGATCCAGGTTACCTCGATGCGTTTGCATTCATGTAGTCTGTCACTGGCCTGTTAGGAGAAAGAGATGAGACAAATGCATTATGACCAATGTGTCTTTCTTAGATAAAAGCCGATTCAACATTTTCAGATCTTAACAGAAAACATTTCAAGCTGGAGTGCATTTAAATGTGTTTTCAGACACACAAACCAACCTTTGCACGCTGACCATTGATCACCTCCAAGAACGAATCCTTCTCTGCTGGGGTCAGTTTTCCAAGTGCGGCTAAATACCGTCTTTGGACAGCAATGCGCGTGTGCACAGCCTGTTATCAAACAGGCAGGACAGACGGTCAAGGACAGCACGACTTCATTCAGAAAAAATAAAAGTAAAAGTCTTAATTTTTACATGTGGAAATCAACAGTGGAAATATAAAAGCAGTGTCTGAAGTTAGATGTAAAGATCTAAAGGTCTGTTTAATGTAGTAAGATCATTTCTTTCTTCAGAGCGATTAATTAAACCCTCAAATCGACAATTGTAAGTTAAAAATAAAAGGTTTCACATATGAAGGAGACCTACCGTTGAGTAGTCTGCCAGGGCATTTATTAGAGCCAGGGAGGTCTGGGAGAGCAAAGTACTTGAACTGTCTGTCACCACTGAGGCAGCTCTTCTGATCAGAGAGTCATGAGAGAGGTTTTCCAGTTGCTACAAACAGAAGGAAATGCAGTATGATGACTGTCATTGCATTCAATGTCACCAAGGACAAGAACAAACTTGTTCCGAAGCGTACTGGTCTCTAATATGAGAGTAACTCACCTGTGCAAAAGGGGTAGCGTGAAGCCCGCGGCCAGCACTCGAAGGCGCTACGCTGATGTGCTCGGAATCTATCCGTTCCCCCAACTTCTGAACACCGGGCTTCATGCTGATGAAAGATGGTGCAGAATATCGTTAGACTCCATCAATAGTACTTCAGCTCACAGTTTGGCCGTATCGTGAGTTGCAAATCTTGTAGTTTGAATCCGGTAAATATAAAGGCATTGGCTGAGTGAAGGCAAAGTTAGGATTCGTACCTTATGAAACGCATACAGGCTGCTCCTCTCCTCAGCCCGGCCGTGTTGCTTCGCAGCAGCGACAGGTCTGTCTGGTTTCGCAGTAGTCCTCCGGCAGCACGACTGGCACACACTGAACACTGACTAACCGCTTGCATTTTGCAGAATATTAAGGTCTGCTGCACTTGGAGAATCTGTCTTCTATGATCTATGTAAAACGAGTTGCTGACTTTAGATTTACTGTTTTCCGCAATTCCTACTAACTGGCTTGTCTCTGTGAAACCATAAAACTACTCTTTTTTGGATGCTTGCAATCTTTCAGTCTGCTCGACGATGACCAACTGTGATGTCCTGCCCGTATTTGTACGGCCCCAGCACCTATTCGTTGCGTAAAAGGTATTGATCTGTTGACTCTTCTAACAAATGTGCGTACTTGGCTTTATCTGAAAAACAGCACAGGGACAGGAATTACGTGCAGGTCTCGCTCCCTCTCACCCTCTCTCCCCCTCTCCCCCTCTACCCCTCTCCTCCTCTCACCCTCTCCCTCTCTCCCCCTCTCCCCCTCTCCCCCTCTTGCTCACACTTTATTTTGTGTGTGTGTGTGTGTGCTCATGAGAAAGATGCTTGATGGATTTAACAAGTTTAACAACCCTCTAACGTCATAAACTATGAACAATGTCATAAATAAACCAACACATTAAAAGGAGAGCTGCAATATTACTCTTGGTTCATATTTGTCATTATATTAAGTTGTATTTTACTTTTAAAATCTACTCTTATTGTGGTTTCCTAAACACACACACACACACACACCACTATAAAAGATACAAGCTTTATAATAATAGTGTTTGTCTGTTTCTTAATTCCCATCATATTCTTCATTTTCACAATAATACAACTGACCAAAGCTGCATCCGAGGAGAATGATAATTCTTCTTTGAGAAAGATTCTTCATCTCATGCAACTGTAGTGCTCCTTAACGCAACCGGCCCTTCAGGTTGGTTATATATAAATTAATTTACCTCAGGTGCTTCAAATACATGACTTTCATGCCTGCTGTCCTCCTAGTCATTTTATTAATTAATCCAGAGATTGAAATGCTGTTACGGCTGCTGGTTCAGAAGGTTAAAGGGGAACAGCAGTAACTTGTTCTTCTGTTTCTGTTTTAGAAAAAAGAAGTGGAAAAGAAGTGCAAAGCCATGTCTGGCTTCAGGGGGAGCAGTGGGAATTACGAAGTAATGCTTAGTTGAGTCTGGAGACTACAAGATTGAAAAGCAAAGCAAAAAAACATGTTTTTTTAGAGCAAGAAAGACGTGATTGTAATGTCATTAGCTGATACAAGCAGAACAGACTGATATCTCCAAATGAGCTTTTGAGTTGCATTGTGGGTAATGTAGGCACCATGTGTTGTTGTTCCAGACTTGCATTACTTTGAACATGTCAGTTAAAACTTGTAGACAAAGGGGCATGCAAACTCATTAAACTGCAGAAGTTATTTAACGTCTTGCCTTGAGGCCTGTTGTTTTATCTCAAATTACTTCAGTCCAATGCAACATTATCTTACACATTATCCAGTTTTCTTTTCTCTGCCAGAAGTGATGTACATTTTACACTTCCACAGCCTGAGAAATTTAATTAAAAAAGCTTGCTGACAAAAGTTTGTCAATAGCATCCATTCTGTTCCGATAACCCGCAAGTTATCTGCTCGGCTGGAGTCTGCTGGGGGTCAGAGGAACAAAGTTGTTTTGGACACAGATATCGGACCAATCACCTGCAGCCCCCATTACTGATGCAGAATCTATGTAAAGAGCGCGCTACAGTTTCTCTCACCCGAGGTCACCAAACAAACAAAACATTTTGTTTGCTCAATTAGACTGCGTTGAGTTAATAATCAACCATTCTATTAATTACTAAGCAGGGGAAACAAGACGTGCGCTCTTGAGATGTTGGACAATGTCTCACCTATGGTGCAGCTCGTTGTATGCCGTTTACACTACATGAACATCTCGTTATGGGTTCCATCATGTTCTTTTTGACACCGTTTTGATGCGGTACCTGCAGGTCGGCCAACTTCTCTTGTGTGGTGACTGACGTACCGTGTATTTGTGTGACACTGGAACACTGTCAAAAAAGATCAGAGATCGAAGTGCATCCCATGTTTATTCAGGGATCAGCAACTCTCCAGATTTTTTTGTAAACCTTCACAAACGTCAGAGCTGCCTCGCACAAACGCTAGAAACAAACCCCGACACCTTGGTACCGACAAAAATGTAGAATGTGGATTTTGTGGAATTGGATTCGTGGTTAATTTTTTAACACAAAAGTGTTACAAGCATTGATCTTTTGTATCGGATGTCAACAACCTATACCCCCGCCTCTGTCTCTATGGTAACGTATGTTAAACCAGGTAAAATCAGCAGCCAAGTGCAATGTCCATTAACCCTGACTTACACCATGAACCTGTCATTAGCCATAAAGAAACCTATGTTGATTATGTCCACAATAGATCTGAACATTTATGAGTTCAAAATATTAACAGTGTATTGGTAGTATTTTGAGCAGGTCTACCAAACCCCCGTTTGATGCTGACAGCTGAGTCTTCATTGTCTCGCTAGACTAGTGTCAAAAAGATACACTTTTACTGTGAGTCAGACAGCAACGTTTTTATGCTTGAAATAAGTCTGTTTTTATTTTTGTGCCTGATTGAGAAAATTATTGTCAATATATATATCAATTTAAAGGTGATGTAATCTGTTACAATTAAAGGTCCTGCATTCAAAATGTAACTGGAGCAATACAAAGGTATTAAAAATAACCTTACAGTATTAAAGTAAAAGTATTAATTATGCAGGGTGACAGATTATAATAACTTAATCATGAATGTGCACTTTAATGCTGCTGTTTTTAACGGTAGGGCTATTTTTTGCTAAAATAAGACAGCAAAATCATTTAATTTAATGATATTTAATATTAATGATGTCAATTTGCTAAGTAAATTCATAATAACTTTTGTACTTACTATAGAAGTACATGTGCTTAGTTACTTTCCTCCAATGGCTCCAACTGTTAACAGTTTGATTCGCATTAGGCAGGGACAGGCCTTTTAACTACAAACCAGTCTCAAATATCATTGAGGTGCTTCCTTTAGAGTCAACAGTGAACTTTAAGTACAGCACTATGAATATAAACTGGGCATCTCAGCGCCACTCACAGCTCATGATTCAGGCCCAGGACTGTCTGTAGGTTGTCATGACTTCCCTTTACTCACTGCAACAGTATATTTGCAGCTTAGAAGCTCACAGTCCACCAGTTCACTAAAATGAGGGACGCTGCCAAAACCCTTTGCTCGCTTGCTCAATAGTTCACAAACTGCTTTGTACAAGACACAGCTGGAACAACTGACCCAGGTCCCCTGAACGTGTCTAAACAGCAAAATCACCACAGTGACGACAATCAATACGATAGGGTCCTTATCCAGCTGCAAAAGGATCAGCTATGTGAAAGTGCTCCCTATCAGCAAAAGAAAAGAAACTACTCAAAGGGACATTTTGCTGCAATCATAATAGCTTCCAGGAGTAAGTTCCAGGAGGAAAATTGTTTTAAACAAAACTACATCCACTTCAGTGCGATAAAGTTTCACACATTCTCACCAGCTCAGAGCCTTCTGCACCGGGTCCACAGATTTAAACCTGATGTGTCGAGAGTGTCTGCACAACCAAAGTGAAATTTACGAAGTAAGTCAAGTAAAAACGCACCTCTCCATAAGATGAAGTGAATGATGGGTGAATTCCATTTAGCGGATCTGATTTCAGGTTCCAGGTATTGTGATGCAGATTTATTGTCATCCCAGTCGCCTGCATCAGCAATGAATGACCTTGAAGAAGATGTTCCAAGAATGATCTGTGCAAATTTATAGGAGTACACGTAGCATCATTAGATAGACCTCTGCAGCTCATCCAGAATGCAGCAGCTGGACTGGTCTTTAACCTGAATGGATCGGGTCCAGTCTACATCCAGGACATCCCAACCCGCACACTCCGCTCTGCATCTGCTTAACTGCTTGTTCCTCCCTCACTGAGAGCAAAACACTCGACTAGATCACGACTCTTTGCTGTCCTTGCTCCGAAATGGTGGAACGAGCTCTCTGATGACATCAGGACTGCAGAGAGCCTTCACATCTTCTGTGGCAAACAAAAAATACACCTCTTCAGACTCTACCTCGACTAAAAATACTAACAAATTGTAGCACTTGATTGTACTTATAATGGCTCTTATCTATAGCAAGTTGTGGGTTTGTATCCTTATGGTTGAAATGCACCTATTGTAGGTCGCTTTGGATAAAAGCGTCAGCTAAATGACATGTAATGTAATTAAAAGTGTCTTTCCCTTTGTAGCTTATTTTATGTCATGCATTGTGAGCTTGTTTGATTAACTGCTACTACACAGGATCCCGTCTCCCTTCTGAAACATGAGTTAATGAGAAACACCGTACTCCATGACGGTAGCATGTCAATAATGTGTCTCTGGAGGAATTGAATCGAGCCAAACATTTGAGATAAGGGGCAGAACCTCCCAACGATGTCGTACATTGAAGCTGTATGATAAGAAGCACAGCGCTCTAAAGCTTTTCTTCAGACAGATGAGGACATTCTTAGGTGAGTGGACGGCTCTTTTATCAAAGGTCTTCCAGAGGTTATCAATTTCAATTTGTGTTCTGCCAACCTTTGATCAGCTTGATTCTATTTAAATGTTGTCTGACGTTAAACGTATTTGTCTTTAACAGGTTTAGTGCCCAGTTGAAAAATGCATAATCTCACTGAATTTCCAGGCAATGCATCTTTCAACAAAAGCCTGTCTGTGATCGTCAAGGTGTGTGCGGTTATCCCCTTCTTCTGCGTCTTCCTCTACTGCATTGTTGTCATGCTGCACATTTTTGCATCTCAGAGGCAGTACCTGGACTCCCCACGTTACATCCTGTTCGCCTCTATGTTGATCAATGACACTCTCCAGCTTTTGTCTTCCGTGCTGCTCTTCCTCTTGGCCATGGGCCGGGTGAAATTTGCATTCATCTATTGTGTTCCTCTGCTATTCCTTTCCACGGCCACTTTCCAGAACACACCTTTAATCCTGGCCACCATGTCTCTGGAGTGCTACGTTGCCATTTTCTATCCGCTGCACCGGCCGGCTGCCTGGCGCTCAGACCGTGTCTGGGTGATCATTCTTTCCCTGTGGCTCATCAGCTGCATCTCCCCCATCGTCATCTACTCTATAGGCATGAGTGATCCTGCCGGAGTGGATGTCCTCTCTACCCCCGTGCTTTGCAAAAGTACTGTTATCAACACATCTCAAATCCAGGCTGTGTTCCAAATCAGTGTGTATATTCTCTTTTTTGCCGTCGTGGCAGCTGTCATCCTTTTTACATACGTGAGAATCCTGCTGGAAGCGAGGAAGCTGAGACAGGACAAAGTGTCTGTGAGCAAAGCCATGCACACCGTGCTGCTGCACGGCTTTCAGCTGCTGCTGTGCATTCTGGCCTTCACTCACCCCATCACTGAAAGTCTCATCGTGCTGAATGCCAACTGGCTACCAGAGGACATAGCCTTTTTTAATTATTTCTGTTTCATCCTCATGCCGCGCATTCTCAGCCCGCTAATCTACGGCTTTAGAGATCAGAATTTCAGGGGCAGCATCAGGAAGACAATTTTCTGTTGCTCAAACAAAGTAAGACCAGACAAGAGACGCAAGCTTCGGGACAACTTATCTGCTTCTTGAACTGGACGATTAACAGTAGTTTTGACAGACAACTCAAACTTATTGCAAACAGGTCAAAAGATGTACGTGATGTTTAACCACATTTTGCCATGTAAAAATCACTGATGACAGACTCCTTAAAAAGGCCTAAATGGTTATTAAGTATAGAATTTATCAACAAAATGATCAATTAACAATATATTTGATTTTGCTGCAGTCAACAATATCAGTTATCGCTATTCAACAAAGAAAAGTGTGTCCCGTTTTAAAATGTATTCAGCATGCAGGGCGCCATTCAATCATTTTACATGGAGGTTAATTTAGCGCCATCACTACTGTCTACTATTGCTGTAAAACAACATCAGGCAGTGGTCTTATGCATGTGCCATCAGCATCGTCAGAGTTCAATTCAGTGAATGAATTCAAGGTGCCTCACAGAAAGCTGCTGGACTCCATCTCTCATTTTTCAATACGCACGCTCATGCGGGAATGTTTGACAGGGTTTGACTGAGGAACACCAGAAACGGATCAAAAATTGTAATGCGGGTCTTATGTTTGTTTGCTTTTTTCTCATGATATTTTTGTGCAGGCCTATCACTAAGTCAATTATAAAATGATATGAGGAATAAGAGGTTGTGTGGTTACCTTTAGACCCCTTATGTACTTGATTGTTTTGTTACATAACATTGCATTATATGTATATATTTTAATAACACTGTACAGCAATATTTGACATATATATATATGTATATATGTGTGTTTTTCCTGTTTTTGACCCCAAAATTACTGTTAGTATTCTGTTATTCTGTTGGTATTCATGATAATTTGAATGTGTTTTTCATTCTTAACGTATAAGTGAGATAAGTGAGAAGAGATGTACTAGAAAATATAAAGCTATTAAAACACCAAAAAGTGATCGTTTTCATTTTTAGTATTCTGGATGTAGGAGGAGGGTGGGTGGGGGGGGGGGGGTATTAAAGCGTTTTTTTTGTATTAAAGCTTTTTAGGAAATCAACGAACGAACATAAAATACCTTTTAAGACGCATAAACGTGGGGAACAATTTGAGATCATTTTCTGGAGGTTTAGATTACTGCGTTGAAATTGACCCCAAGGTTATGCCATGTTAGTAGATGTCGAGGTAACAGGATGGTTAAAGATTCCTCTAAACAATGAAGTCCTTCAAAGGCTCTTGCGGCTCACATCATCGGGTCGATTCGAGGTTTTCACCTGCAGGTGTCGCACCGACTCAATACTTTATGCGATATACCTTTTTTTTTGCAAATAACTTCCCGTAAGAACTCACTTTAAGCAAATTAAAATGAGTTTCCTGAAAATGGAGTAAAATATACAACCCTTTTCATTTTTCATCATTTCCATGAAACGCGTGTGTTTGGAACCAGCTTCCACAGGCTGTTACGGGACCTTATAAACTGCAGGGAGATCGACGTATTCCAGGTACAAACAGTGTGCAAATAAACTAAACCTATTGACCCGGCTGCCTCCGGCCCGCAGGCCGGTACCGTGACCCGAAGGAGGAAGCCGGTCTCAGAGTAGAAGAAGGAGATGACCGTGAGGGACACGCCGTGTGAGCCCTGCGGATCAGAGAGCAGCTCAACGCAGAAGAAGAGGCGGGAGGGGGGCGGGGGAGTCGTGCATTATCACGCCGCTGCTGCACGAGATGTTCCCCGCGGGCGCTCTCCTCTCTTGGGGCCTCCTGACCGTCGCCGTGGTCCCCGCGTCTTTGGGGGAAATGTACACGTCGCTGCTGAACGTGAAGCAGGCGATCGGCGTCGAACGGAAGCTGATCGGTTACTTGAGGACTTACATCGACCACGAGTCGGAGCGACTGGATGACATCAAGCGGTGAGTGACGTGCAGGAGGACGCGCGTGGATTCGCGGTGCAACATCTGGAGAAACAGCACTGCACATTTTGGTTGAAGAAGAGTATCCTTACTGTAAAGCTTCTCTCAAACCCGGTGAATCCGCCGCAGACTGAGCAATAATGACACATGCGTTATGAGCACACACGTCGATGTTTACGGTGGCATCTTTAGACCCACGGGTGGGAATGCTGGATTTAGATTGAATTAGTACAGTTGTATATATAACAAAGTTTTCGGTTGTTTCTTTACAAGAAGAAGAATCCGCTGCAGTTGCTTCCATTCAGAAACCTTCATTATTAAAGGCCCATCCAGTCACTTTCCACCAATGTATATTTATGATTCAGCTATTTCCGTGTGCCTTTCAATTTTCTGGAGCGCCTTTGACCACATTTACTTAATGGTGGTTGCTGTTTGTGATGTGAAGTTGGAAAATTACACATCTGTTTCTTTCCGTCTTTCCCATCCAGAAAGTCAAATAATGTATTTTGTGTAATGGCATGACATTTAAAAAAATATTACTATTGTATTCATTTATATGTTTTCATGATGTCAACATTTAGGTATCAGTAATCAATTTTTACCCCCAGTGTGTAGAATAAAACATTTAATAAAATGTATTTCTGCTCTATGAGGTAGACGTTGGTCAGTTTTTAAAGGCTTACTGCCAAGAGCGCTGCAAGTTTTCCAGCGCTCACTTGCTGTGTGTGAATCTTTCTGAGTTCTGCTTCTTTTTGTAACTGCCGTCTATATCTTGCCAACAGTTTTCATGCCAAAGTTTCAGACCTGCACACTGAAGTTTATAGAGGCCCGGCGGCTGCGATGGCAAACCCGCTGCTGGCATTCACCCTGATCAAGAGGATGCATTCAGAGTGGCTGAATGTAGTGTACAGCAACGAAGCCCAGGAGAACGCACAAGGTTGGCTCACTGGCTTCTGTACAGGCACATCTGGTGATGATAACTGATGCCCCCCCCCCTCCCCCTCCCTCCTCTTCTCTGCTATCACAAGCGCCCCCCCCAGTTCACCTCTGGCCCTCTGGTGTCCAGCCCTCAGGTCCGGTTACGAGAAGGAGGAGGGCGATCTGCCCAAACTGGAAGACCTCCAGGGAGCCGCCAAGGCGCTGATGAGGCTGCAGGATGTGTATGCTCTCCAAGTCGCGAGTCTCGTAAGGGGTCGTTTCCAGAGAGTCACTGATGGCAAGTCTATCGACGTCTACCTGCCGGCAGTCTCTGTCCCGCTGTCTGGTGATGACTGCTTTCAGGTTGGAAAGGTACATCCATTATTTTGCGGAAGAACTCCAAAGTCATGAATTATGAAAACGTACAAACACCACAAAGATATTCCATTAATTTTCCATTAAGTAAAAGTCATTTTTAAAAGCATAAGATGTATATAGTAACAGCTGAATTCACTTTAAATATCAAAAGCAAAAATGTTCATACTTACGTACCGCGATGCATTAAGGTATAAGCATTTCTTCACTGTTGTTTGAGGCGGAGCTGGTTATACAGCATTAACCAAGGTGGTTGGGTCCAGAAGCTCCCAATTTATGCTTCTTCCCTTCAAAGAGTCACTTGATACATCTGAGTCGTTGATCTCCGCTGTCATAATGCAGGAGTAAGTGGAAAAAGTTCTGTTCCGTTCTTCTATCATTTCTTTTGGTATCAAACAGTTATTGAAATTAAATTAGAAGTTAATTTGGAAAATTAGTTGTTGGAGTATAAAGTAGAAGTTTATCACCCGTCATCGCCCTTTTTCGTAGTAAAATAAACTCTGATTTTTAAACTAGTGAAAAGGAGAAAGATTTGAAAGATTTTCATTGATTAACAAACCCGGTTAAAAGGTTTGCAAAATAATTTTATTCCGAACTTGTCAGTCACTGTGAGGTGGAAATTCATTCGGGCTGGGAATCCCTTTCATGGGATAGTGTGAAGTAAGAAAGGGGGGAAAAATGTTCCACTACAATATATCCGGCTGTTTATGTGGTGATGTGTAATGACCTGGTAATGCGTGGGAGACAGATCCTGGAAAAGACATTATCACACACAGCAGAAGTGTTTGGAGGAAAGCGCATGCATTTGCCTTTACTTATACTGAGATGATCTTACAGCCTCTGCTGCTTCCAACCGCCTGATTTTATTAAAACAGACATTTGTTCAAAGCAGTATAACAACAGATGCTTCCATCCATCCATTGTCAAACCACTTATCCTGCACACAGGGTCGCAGGGGGGCTGGAGTCCATCCCAGCCAACTTCGGGCGATAGACAGGGTACATCCTGGATTGGTCGCCAGCCAATCGCAGGGCTACACAGAGATATACAACCATTCACACTCACACATCTACGGGCAATTTAAAGTCCCCAATTAACCTGATCCAGAGCATGTCTTTGGACTGTGGGAGGAAGCCGGAGATCCCGGAGAGAACCCACGCAGACACGGGGAGAACATGCAGACTCCGCTCAGAAAGGCCACTGGGCGGAATCGAACCCAGGACCTTCTTGCTGTGAGGCAACAGTGCTAACCACCACGCCACCGTGCCGCCCACAACAGATGCTTCCTTCAAGCTATTCTGAGACCTACAAAATATAGAAATACATTGGTTCTTTACAGACTGTCTCCAAATGATGGGATGCAAAGTTGTGAACTCAGTCGGTTTATTGTGTTTTGGGGGGTTTAATGGTATACTGTATTTTTTCGTTTGTGTGCTGAAGATGGGTTGTGGATACAGTCTTGGAGCCTTGTGTCACTCAGTTTTCATTTGGGTGCTGTCAGGCTGGTAGTCAGCACCTACTTTATTATTTGATGTCAGCTGCAAAAGCAACTTGTGGCCAGTGTTTAACAGACATGTAGCTTTATCCACAATGTGTTTGCTTGAGGTCAGTCATCTCTCAAAGAGACTAGAGCTGCACTAGCTGATTACTATTCGGAATTATTTCAGTCCTTCTCTTGAGCAAGTATATACAATATTTGGAGGTTCACTGCTTTTATCAATTAGATCAAAGACTCTTTTGAAAGAGACTTGAATACAGACATAAAACACACAACAATCCAACACAGAACCAGTCTCAAAAAGCAGCATCAATAACACATTGAATTCCTCCACTACGTTTTACAGTCTCAATAAGTCTATGGTGGTTATCTCCTATACTTCCTGCCCTATTTATCCATTCCTCCAACTTGCTATCTAAAGACTAAATGACGAGATAGAAAAATGCAGAAACTGGTCTGATTCTGGCTGCTGCCACAGGCCCACCGACTGGCTGACTGCTGCTAGATGGGAGCCCACCGTAGTTATTAAAAGTAACCCGGGTTTGGATTTCACGCAGGTGGCGTACGAGCAGGAAGACTACTACCACTCGGTGCAGTGGTTGGAGGAGTCGGTGCGTCTCTTCAGGGGAACGGGAGGCGTTTGGAGCCCTGAGAATGAAGGGACTTTGGAGGACGCTCTGGATCATCTGGCCTTCTCTCATTTCAAGGTGGGTAGAAGAACACTTGAGAAATGTACATTTGTGAGATGATATATGGACGGCACCGCACTGAATTCCTATCATTGTTTTAGACAGGAAACGTCTCCCACGCTCTCAGTTTATCTCAAGAACTACTGCATTATGGTAGGAATTTTGTCCCTTTTCTTTGAATCATGTCTTTCATATCTTTGAACTTGCCTCAACCGATTGACAGACGTGAGTACTTCAAGCAACATGCTCTACGCACTTTGCACTCGTTTTCTTCTCAGATCCAGAGAATGGAAGGGTTTTGCAGAATGTTGAGAAATACGAGAAACTGCTGGTTTCAAGTTCACCCGAATCAATCAGGGCGAATGAGCTGAGGAGACCGACCTCCAATCATTTAAGGACCAGAGACACTTATGAGATGCTCTGCCGGACCCAAGGCTCTCAGGTATTTGTCACAAATAATAATTGTGAGCACATGTAATGTTTTAAGGGAAATGTATGGTTGAGAGAATAATACAACAGCCAGAGTATTCGTAATAGTTAATTTGGAAAAACT